GTATTGCTTTGATAACAAGGAACTATGGCAGGTCTAGCCAACATAATAAGTGGATTTCATCAGATGATTTGTGTGACGTTTTGAGAAATGATCTTTGGAAGTGACCTGATTTTAATGGAACTCACGGCCACGCAGCACGCACCACTGCGCAGCTTCCAGCTGGGATGACGCCCTTCCTCCCCTGGTGCTCGCAGTGCAGGGTGAACCCCAGAATGCCACCCATGGGGAAGGAGTCCAGGGAGAGCCAAGGCAGGAGGAAGGGTGCACACAAGGACAGCACAGGGAACTGGTTGCTAAATTATTCATTTTATTTATCTTTTTCCCCAAATCAGGAATGATCTCAAACCACCTTTATCTCTTCATTGTCAATGTAGGAATAAGCAGGGACCAACCAAATGCAAGCAAGATGTAGCTTTCCTGAGCTTTTTGTAAGAAGAGAATCAGCCACCTTCATCTGTTGTGCAGCCTTGACTCAAAGCACTGGCAGAGGAGCGGGAAAGCCTCGTAGTAGGAGAGGCAAGCTTCAGCTATACCTTTGTTGGATGCTGTCCTGGGGGAGCTGTGGGCAGCCAATGCCTCTGGATATGCACCAAGTTTTGGCTTTCTCTGCTTGTAGAAGTTCCATGTAAGGACAGACATTAGGGAAGCCGACAGTCATGATTCAAGTCCTTGGCATATGAGGCAGCCAGTTCTTAAAGTTCTTCTATCGCATACATTGCTGCTAGAATAGACTAACTTCCTACAGGAATGACATATAGCAGACAGACTTTCTGGACTGGTGGTTGTAGTAACAGGTTGGTTTTCTGAGCAAACTGGTAGGGCATCGGAGATCTGTTTTATGTTTTTTATGGCCTTGCCATCATCTGGTTTTTATCTTTCAGTCTTTCATAGCACATACATGGTATGCTTAGTGGAGGTGGGTAAGAAAGATTGGCTTTCTACTGTGGCAGTGATTTCTCTTGATAAAAAAGAGAGAGTCCTCTTGCATACAGGTCTGCTTGTAGGGTGAAGGGGGTCTAACAATCTCCAGGTTAAAGGTTTATCATATATTAAACGTAAAGAATTACAAAATTGATTAGCCTTAAGAAAAATCTTATGTTTAACATTGCATTTAAGGTATGCCAGAAATGAAATTTTTTTCATTGGAATTCAGATATATAGAAAGGAGGACAGATAGAGAGGAATTCACTCCCTAGGTGACTGCAACACCAGAGCTGAGCTGATCTAAAGAGGCAGGAGCTTCTTCCTGGTCTCCCACAAGAGTACAGGGTCCCAAGGTTTCCGGCCATCCTCAATGGCTTTCCCTGGCCACAATCATGGAACTGGATAGGAAGGAGGGCTATCGGGATTAGAACCTGCACCCATATGGGATCCCAGCACGTGCAATGTGATGACTTTCGGCATTAGGCTACTGCACCAGTCCCACAAATGCAATTATTATAGTTTAGGTGCTTTTCACAAGAAACACATAACAAGACTTCATAAGTAATATGTATAAAGAATAACTCATGGCAGAATTCACACTGTGTGGTCCGGTGAAGGACCCATGAAAATAGCGGTTGGCATATGAAGAAGGTAAGATTTTGCCTAAAGAGCACTGAGTGTTCTCTGTGAGTGCACTTAGTAGACACTTAAATATTATGGCCTGGAGAAATGCAAGATTTTCTACCTGCGGTTGCCATTTGCTCAGAATCTGGAAGTGTGGTGTCTCCATAGAGAAGGCCAAAAAGTTGTCAAATTGAAAATAAGCATTTTACTGTTGTAGCTGTTAATTAAGAACTGAAACATGGTTTTTCAGTTTATGTGTTGTTTCTTTAAAGCTGGCTGTAGTTCTAAGTTTCAGAATCATTGGTAAGCCCAGGATATATTGTGAGCGACACTACTTTAATTAGTGTTTGGACTTCCTATACCATGAGATTCAAAGAGGTAGCCAACAGTTTTGAATTAGCGTAGGATTTTTTGTTTAGGCAATTAGAACTGTTTACTTCTCTCCTGGCACTCTCTTCCATAAGGAAAACATTTGCAGCCACTTTGGGGAAAGTATCATTTTTCTGAGTCTCTGTGGCCTTCATCATGCCACGGTTTAATAAAGAACATAATTTCATATTTGGATGTTGTGATCATTGAAATTGGTATAAGTGGTCTTTGTCCACATTTAAGGAGATTTACATTTTTTTTTTGGCTGTCTTGGAACACAATGATGCCAGAAATGGAACATCAAGAAGTTGTAAATTTTGATAGAAGTCTGCCAGGAGGCCTGTGAAAACTTAAGGTCTCCCTGACCTTGGTTATCGCAAGCTCACTCTGTGGTTTAAAACAATCATTATGTTCTTCAGAACCATTGATTAAAGAAATTTAAAAAATAATTTTATGGCAGAAGAATAATTAGTGAAACCATCTCCTTTGGATACTTGATGACTTCACTCTTCAAAGGTCAAGAAACCAATTTCTGTTTAAACTCTGAACACCGAATGGTCTCTAGGAAATCAAGGTAATATTGAATATCCTGAGAGAATGGCTTAATAGCAGCAGTATTTAAAAGGTAATTTTTTTTGTTAGACCACTAGCCTTGCTAGTAATTATTGCAATTGAGTGATCCTTTTCTCTCTAACACCATAAATGTATCCTTTGCCACAATTTTCTTCTCTTCTATTTTTAAGTCGGCTTGAGGCTCCATATAATTCTTTGCGTCCACATGTTTCATCTGGTCCTACCACCGCTTCCAAGCGGATAAGCCTACTTCTCTCTTCCCACTGCTTAACGTCTTAAAACAGGATTTTTGTCTGCTGGCCACACTGGTCTCTCATGCCCATTCAGGTGTCCATTTTCAGTGGATTTGGGATGACTCAAAGGTCCCTGAATCTTCTCTTAGGAAGTCTGCCAGCCTCGTCCATCAGTAGACCTCCTCCTGCTGCTTCCCTTACTGCCCAGGGGAGGCGCCCTGGATGGCTCTGCCTTCACCTGTGCAGCACTGCCCGTTTCTCTGGCAGCCTCCACGTCTGTTCATGGGCATCTCATTCCGTTCATAATGCCTTGTTCCAGGAAGGTTTATCTAGAATAAACTGAGCCTAAGGAATCAAATAATTCAGTGACATCCTACCTATGGCAAGATCCAAAAGTGAAGTCTTTCTCTAAGAGCAACGTATGCAGAGACACCTATGAGGACCCAGGGACAGGTCAGCTCAGTTCAAACCCAAGTCTCTACGACTTAGGAGAAAGGAGCATGAGCTAACCCAATCTGCCTGTCCTTTGGGTTTGCTATTATGCTTTGAAAGCTTTGGTTTTACTCAAGAATTTCATGGACCCAATAGATACTAAAATGACTTATGTGTAATTACAGAGAGTCCTAGAGTGTTAGGTCCCATCAGTGTTTGTATGAATTTGTAAAGGCTGCTCTATCCCTGAGCATCTTCTCACACGTTCCTTCTGATAAAAGAACAAGCAATGCAAAAAAAAAAATCATGTAACACTATGACAGTCTATTTGGTTACTATGATAGATGTTCACATTTGTGTTTATATTCTGCCATTAGTACTCAAGGTCCTTATCATATACTTAAAGAATTTTTATTAGTATTTTTAAACAAATTGTCTTTCTTCCATGTCCACTTGTAAACAGTAGCAACTTGCTCACATTCGCTCACAGAATCAGCGAATGAAGATGAGCTACAGTCAATAAATATTTTCCAAAGGAGCATCTGTCAAAGAATTGGTATCCAAAATTTATAAAGAACTCTTAGAAACTCAACAAGTTGAGCAGACAGCTCACTAGAGAGTGTATACAGATGGCTCAACATCGTGTATCATCAGAGAAATGTAAATTAAAACAGCCATGAGATACTGCTCCAATACCAATCATAATGACTAAAATCAAAACCTCTGACAGCGTCAAGTCTCGACGAGGATGTGGAGTGACAGGAAGCCTCGTTTGATGCTGCTAGGAACACAGAATGCTGCAGCCACTTTGAAAAAATGTTTAGCAATTTCTTTAACATCTTGACCTAGAATGCTACCTAGGAGTGATGCTCTTGAGTGTCTGCGAACTGAAAACTTCAATCTGTGTAAACAGTTACATGCAATTGTTTATAATAACTTCGATCATAATTGATTAGAGCAGGAAGCAAAATTCGCCAAGACATCCTTCAGTGACAGCATGGGTAAACAAGCTGGGGTACATCCACACAATGAAATAACATTCAGCAGCAAATTAAATGGGCTACCCAGCCAAAAGAAGACGTAGAAGTACCTTAAATTTATATTTCTAAGTGAAAGAGAACAGTCTGAAAGGTCACATACTGCATGTTTCCAATTACATGGCATTCTGGAAAAGACAAAACTGTTGAGACATTTAAAAGATCATTGGTTCCCAAAGGCTTCAGAGAAGAAGAGGAATAAATTTGTGAAGCACATGGGATTTTTGGAACAGTGGAACGATTCTGTATATTTCACTATAAAGAATGAAATAATGTATAATAATAATTCATGTCATTTTTTTCTTTATGCGTTCACTAAAATTGACAGAACGCTACAACACCAAGATTCCACCTTAATATAAACTATGAACTGTATAAGTAGCAGTTAAATTGCTATAAACGTAAAACTGTTGTAGATTTTTAAAAAAAATCTTGATGAGTTTTATTTCTAAAATGCTAAACAAAGCAAAAATGTCGTATTGTAAGTTCCTAGCACATCTGGAGCAAACATGCTGGGACACGAGAACAACAGTGTGCAGCTGTTTCCATGGCTGAGTGGGATTTTTGTTTTTTACCTAGAACTGAATTTGATTGTCCAAAATAAGAGTAGGCTGATTTTTTGCTGGATCCTTGTTCTTCATCATGTGTGAAGTTCGCATGTCTAAGTTTTTTTTTTTTTTTTGGAAATTGTAGCTGTGTGTTGGATGACCAAAGGGAAAATGATTGAGAGCAGGACCGTAAAGCCATACTCTCACCATCCCAGATATGTTTACTCAGGCTTTTCAATCTGTTTCTTCTGTTCTTCCAGGCCTTGCAATTGCCAGTGCCCTAATAGACATTTCACAACAGAGGCCTTCAGAGAGTAAAGACAAGTCCTCGGGTGTCCGGAATCGAAAACACCTCTCAACACGTCAAGGAACCTGTGTCTGAGAAATGGAAATCTCTCCTGCACAGTCTGGGATGTTTCACTTCCAAAATGGCTTCTGTTAAAAGCTGTTTTATGGCCTCAGATTTTATGGAGGCAAACGTCTGTATGATCCAGGGCCAAAATACAGTTCCCTGCAAGTGGGAAATGACCCAAGTGGCCAAAGAATGTTTGTGAGTTTTATAAAAATAATAGTATTGGTGGTCACAGGTGATAAAGTCAGTTTTTACGACTGTCTAAGACTTCTCATAGCTAGTATTGAATTACTATGGAAAAAGATGTATATTGTTTCTTAATGAAGATGAAAAATAGGTAATTCGTATAAATCAACTGTTTATATCCCAAGACTTTAAAGGAAGACATTTTATAATGCCTGAATGATAAGAACTGTATAGTTTTTGCCTCATAAGCAAATAAGTCACCTGTGTATGAACAGGAAACGAGCAAGTTGCAATGGCTTTAATTATGTTTTATCTCGTTGTAAATGTGGAAGTAAGATTTTGATTTAATAATAGGATATAGATGATGTGTTTAAATGTTTCATGTGACCTTGCTGCATCCAAACTCAATCTGGGAACTTGACCATTTCTGCCCAATAAGAATACAGAGAAGAATGAGTGAGCCTGTTTGGATGGAGAGCATGTAAAACGTCCCGCCGGTTTATTAGAATTCCAAATGCAGAGGACATTCCTGTCGGCCACACCGACTGCCTAAGTCATAATCAGAGCTGATAGAGCATGGAAAAGCCTGTCTAGCGGTCAGCTTTCCTCTCCTTCCAAAAACAGCTTCCGGTACCACATCCTGCAAAGAGCTGAAGGCGTGATTTTTTTTATAGTGTTCGCTCCAATAGGATAATTCTTTTAAATTATCTACAGATCATCGGATCAAACCTCGGTGATCCATCCGCGTGTTCAGAACATGTCCTTTGCCTTTAGCCTGCCTCTTCCAGCTGCTAGATTTTATTTACCTTTCGCAAATGTTAGTGAATGTATTTTTGAAGTGGCACCACCCAAAAGGCGACATGACCTAAGTTCCTTCCTGCCAACTCTTCCACTCACAAAGAAAGTCGAGGAAAGTGTCAACTGGCAAACAGCAGTGTTCTGATTGTCAATATGAACATATTGATATTATGAGAGAAAATCTACAGTTTACAAAACAAGTTCAGTGTTGCCCACATTCAGCATATTCTTAATGACTCAAAACTCTGAATTATGGCGGAAAAAAACCAATTTTCACATTGGATTATAAAAATCATTTAATTCTTAACAATTCACTCGGTAGCACTAACGTATCTAGTTCGAATTCCAATTTTTTAACTTCAATATTTAAGGACAATGACAGAGTCATCCAAAGCTACTGTATACATTATAATTTTGTCCAATATGAAAGTCATTTAAGTATAGTTGTTTAGTACTATCTATGTACTTTGCCTATTCTTTGGATTTCTGGAGGGTAATTACACTTTACTGTTTACAGCTAATGCATAGTTGCTTGCATGCCATGGTTGTACAGTAGCAGAACAGGACCCTATTGTGGTATTAAATGTTTATTTCATAATGCCATGTAGACATAGCTGGATTAATTTGATGAAAATTGGATGTAATATATAACAGGAATGACCACACAATATGTAGTTGCATCTTATAAGAGATATCTAGGTTGCATATAACCATGTTTATATGATTATTTTAATAATTAGGCATTTATGAATTATAGTATATATTCCTTATGTTGGCATGGTAATTTTGCTATTTTCCACACATTAAAATAAGATGAATTCTTAGAGTAATTTTACTAATTTTATCTATAGCCTGGGATTCTATCTGGAGGGTGTGGGTCAAAGGGATACCACTTGTTTGAATTTTCTTATGACATTCCCCCCCATACACACACACAAAAACAGGGACTTAAGTTTGGAAATATCTGCTACAAATGACCAAGTAATGTTTTCACCGTATTTTAGACCTTCTAAATGTTAACTTTGCTCATGGAAAAATAAATGCACTGAAGTAGTGATTATAAAGATGTAGTCATTTAAAATTAAGAGATTGCCCAATTTGTTTAATTCTCCAACAGTTGTCACAAGAGAAAACTTGTGTATAAAAACATACAGAACTGTTAAAAAAAAAAAAACAGAACTGTTTTGGCACTATTTTTAGGACCTAAGCAAGTAGTACTACTGTGAGAACATTGTCAAATGTATTAAATTCCATTGCATCCTTAAAACTTGATAATTCAAATTTAGAGAATCATGGGACATAATACAATGTCAAGTTAAAGTCACATTATAACTTATGGGAGTAAGTAGTCATAACTCCATGGCTAATTATGCAATAACTTATCAAAGCTTTTCTCTGGCAATAAAATTCTTCACCCTCAGGTGAGGTGGGTTGAAAAGACATCAAGGATCAAGGATAATCACTTTGAATATTTATCTTGGTTTCTTTTCCCTGCATCCCAAACACTTTAAATTTGGATGCTTTCATTTCATAAAAGCCAAACCACACATCTATGCTGTTATTTTCCAAGAGGTTAGCAGATAAATGAGTGACTTTCTTGAAAACCTACTTTAATTGATTTCTGAATATTTAGGTATAGAATGACTTTGAAAAATTCTTTATGTTTCAGGATTTCTTCTTTGGCTAAGTGTGAATAAACTTTGGATGAGTAGAATGGATTAACCTGGGCAGGCAATTTGAACACCTGGAAAATTATTGTTGAAAAAGAATCTGTGTAGGTTTACAAACTTCTTTCATCCATTTGTGATAATCGGACCTCATAGTTGCTTTAAATGGAAATTTACTTTAGTAAGATAAGGAAAATGGGTATCATCTACTATAGTGCTATTGATCACTAGGAAACGCCCACAGTAGCCAAGACCAAAGCTCAAGAGGTCTGAGAATGAGACCTGCATCAGATCTTCCATACGGGTGACTAGCACCCAATTGCTGGTGCCAGCATCTCCAGCATCAGCAAGAAGGTGGACACAGGTTGGAGCTGTGCATCAAGCTCAGGCACTCCACAGGTTAAACACCTGCTGCAGGGTATCTTTCTATCTGTAATTCACAAGTGGGGTGAAGTGCTCAGTATCTTCCTTTCAAGTCAGCAGAGAGAACTGTCAACCGTCATCCATTCGCTGTAGTCATTTAGAGTGTAGACTGATGGATGCCTAGAGCCACGATGTGGGGCTAGCTTTGAGTTGTGTGGTGTTGGGCATTTTGAGCCATAACCCTCCAGCAGTAAATGGAGGCAACGGTGCCTGCCCTCCACCCAACCCCACCCTACCCCATCCTACCCCATCCCCCACTGCCCCATGCAGAGTGGTTATGATGAAGGTAGCTTCACTGGGGTTAATCAGGGGTCACCTGATCACTCTTTCATACAGTTGTTTTAATTGACTAATTTTCACCTGTCATCTCACCAAAGGTAAAAGACAAGTGGGATACATTTTTTTAAGGTTTTATTTATTTTCATTGGAAAATCAGATTTACAGAGAGGAGAAAGATCTTCTGTCTGCTGATTCACTCCCCAGGCGGCTGCAACAGCCGGAGCTGAAATGATCTGACGCCAGGAACCAGAAGCTTCTTCTAGGTCTCCCATGAGGGTGCAGGGTCCAGGGCTTTGGGTCATCCTCCACTGTGCTTTCCCAGATCACAAACAGGAAGCTGGATGGGAAGAGGAGCAGCCAAGACATATGGAATTCCAACGTTTGCAAAGAAAGAATTTCATCACTGACCCATTGTGCTGGGCCCAAGTGGATACCTTCAAAAGACTTCTTGAAGATTTTAAATTCTGATATTTCTGGCATTAATAGAAATTCCTTAAAAGGAAAACAAACAGGAACTGTTTTGATGTTGAGGTCAGCTGAGTTTTGACTGCAGTGCCAGTATCTGAAGAATGACTGCTGATGACATTAAACAGTGACACCAGTGGTCACTTTTCTCTCCTGGATTGGGCAAGAAGGGAATCAATGATGACATTCTGTTGTCACCCACAATGAGACTTTTTTTCAGGAACCTAAGACCACAATTTGAAAAATATTTTGTGTTTGTATTTACAAAATGAGAACAAAGCAAATGAATGCTACCCATCTACACTTTTAAAAAATCAACATCCAAGCCCATTTGCTAATGATGAGGGTGAGGCTGGCACTTAGGTGGCCACAAGAATCCCCAGGGTGAGTGTAGATTCCCTCCCTCGGGTTCAGAAGCAGGTCGGGACCTGCAGAGCAGAAAGGGCCTCAGAATGGCCGCTCCGTGTAGTGGACACATTTGGGCTGAAGAGCTGCCTGTACTACAGTCGGAAGGAATCCTTTAAACAACAAAGTTATCGCTGATTCAAAATGTGCTCAGTGGTTTTCCAAGGAGTAGAAGCCATCTGGTTAGTGCAACAGCAGCGTGTTCATCATCGTGTGCATTGAACATTTTAGTTTGATCAAGTTTTTAAATCAAGAAATAGAACCAGAGACTACACACACACACACACACACACACACACACACACACACACACACACAGGTGTACATGCCAGTGTCAAAAACAGATTGTATAAAAGTTCAAATCCGTTCTAAAAAGCCAACATTTTATGATAATGTGCTAGTAATTGAAAATCTAATTATTGAAATAAAAACATTGGCTCTTCCAACTCCCATTGCCAAACGTCATTTTGTTCTGTGTTTTTTTTTTCTTTTTCTCTCAAGATCATTTCAAAAGAAACACTCTGAGAACCTGAAAAGATCCCTCCTCCCCATCTAAGGCTTGGTTGTAACATGTGTCTTATCGAATTGCCACATGGAAATTACATCTTTTTCATCTCCACATACTCGCTGCAGTTTTCCACATGGATGCCTTGAACAGCATCCTGAACACCTTGAATGTTCCTGAGAATGGAAGGCCGAACTCACACAAGGCCAGGCAGCCAGAATCCTGGCAGTGCCTGAGCATCAGTGCCCCTAGCCATGTGCTCTCTGTTTGCAGAAGCTGTTTTATTTACAGTGAAATCAGCTTTCCGGGACTGGTGCAGCCACAGCATAACTGAGTCTCCTGAGCAAAGCGTGCACGGTGCTTGGCATGCCTTCACCTTGGTACCTGTGTCACCATCTGGTTCCCAGCCTTTGTCACTGGCACTGCTCTGTCAGGCCCGAGGCAGGTGCTGCTGGCAAGGAACCAAGCAGAAAGTGCCAGAGCCTCACCCGCTTTTTTTCCCAGCCCTCTTGCCACAGGGACAGCCTGCGACTCCTCCTGGGGTGAAGGCCTTCAGCCTCACCTGAGGTTGACCCCAGCTGTGCTCTTGGGAGTACAGTAGGGAGCTCCTCCCAAGGAAGTGCTCAGTCACCATGCTCAGACGTCAGAGCAGAACAGAGGCTGTGGTGGAAAGGCTGTCTTGACTCTGAGACACATTCCCATCCTCACTTGCATCTCCCAGGAGCTTTAGAGAAGAGAGGGAGGCCAGCATTGTGAGGCAGAGGGTTAAGCTAGCATACCGTATGGGCATTGGTTCAAGACCAAGTTACTCCACTTCCAGTACAGCTCGCTGCCAATGTGCCTGGAAAAGCCTTGCAAGAAGACCCAAGTGCTTGGGTTCTTGGGAGACCTGAAATCTTGGCTTCAACCCAGGGTTGCAGTGATTTGGGGAGTGAACCAACAGAAGGAAGCTCTCTCACCCTTTGCTCTTGCTCTCTCTCTGACTCTGCCTTTGTCATTGTAAGTCTGCCTTTCAAATAAATGAATAAATCTTAAAACACACAAACACACACAAGAGAGCAGCTCTGGGTGGCCTGTTTATGGTGGTTGCCCAAGGGTGGAATTGTGCCTGAACCCAAGAGATCCCTGTTCTTGCAGCCCAGACAGCGGCTGCTCTGTGATGCCAAGTCACACACACTCCTTTTTTCCAGTGTATTGATGATAAATCGTTGGCTGGGAGATGTGGAGACTATTGCTCAAAATGAATCTCTCTCTGGCCAAAAATGATTTTCTCATGAACATCATCTGAGAGTGGCTAATGAGAAGCTCCAACCCACGGCCCTTTGATAAATATGCATTCTCTGCTCCCGGTTCTGCTGAACTTCCACTGTTGTTCAGGGCACTTAGCATGGCCATTGTACCTGAGACAGTTGAGCTTTATTTTCTCTGTCCTGTCAAGGCTATTCTGTTTCCAAGTATAAGCTTATAATTTTTATTTTTTTTTTAAAAAAGATTACTTGTTTGAAAGACAGCGATCTCCTATCCATCAGCTTATTCCCCATATGTGCGGAACACATGGGGTCCAAGCCTGGAGTCAGAACTCCATCCATGTCTCCCTCATGGATCAGAGGAACCCAGCTACTTTTGGCATGCACATTACCCAAAAGTTAGAATCAGGATTGGGGCCAGGACTCTCCTAATTAGGATGCAGGCATCTCAGCACTTGGCTATCATTTTAAATGGTTTTCCATAGACTAAACATTCTAACCTGCTTCTAAGCTCTACCACACTCCATTAAGGAAATAGACTGGCTATGGAACAGTTATAATTGAATAAGAACCCAAATCCTTCTAAAACCACTGCAAGACGCACCATATTCTACTTACCTTCAAAGGGGGGTAGCCAATATTACTTTTGGCAAACATAGTATTTTGACTCAGGTAAGATAGTCACTTAAGCATAAGCTTCTTTAAACCAGCTGTGTGTGCATGGTCAGATAGGAGATTTAGCACTAGAAAATCCGCCTGTGAAAAGAGCATTAGCGAGAAAATTCTTATCACATTTCTTTGTGATTCTGTAGCCCTGGTGCCCCCAAAATATTTACAATGTTGTGCTTTGCAGTGATGCAAAAGTTATCTAGGAACAGTCCCTGTTTAGGGACATGCTTGAAATTTAATGTCAACTCAATGCTGACTTTGAAAAAGTGCCTTTGGATTAGTTGTCCAAACCGTTTCTAAGTAAGCTGGCATTAACATGCCCTCCTACCTCATCCAGATTCCCTGGGGTTTTGTTGCTGTTAAAATAGGAAGCAGATCACAACTGAAAGTTT